TGTTAATTATTACCTTATATGTCTGAACAACCATGGTCTTTTCCAGTCTTCTTTAGTCTATAAAGTCTAAACTAAAATTAACTATTTCTTTAATTTATAAAGTCTGAAATAAAATTAACTATAACCATTTCTACTGCTAACATTTCTTATCTACTTAAAAATGGAAACATTTTATACACACACACATAATTTGATAATGTAATTCTTATTTTTGCACTGATCTTTTGCATCAGGATTTAAAAAAAAACTGATTTACATAGAATTGTAATCTGCAAGCTGTTAAAGGCATACCAAAAATAAGTGTTCCAAGGTCAAGAAAGTTTGGGAAATACTGAACTTACCTGATATACCACCCCCCATTTTTCCATATTGCAAACACATTAGGGAAAATCTTACAGTTAGGTGGGTGGTGCATGCCTGTAATCCCAGTGGCTCAGGAGGCTCAGGCATGATTGTATGTTCCAAGCCAGCCATAGCAATTTAGCAAGACCCTGTCTCTAAATATAAAATGGGCTGGGGATGTGGCTCAGGGTTAAACATTCCTGAGTTCAATCTCTGGTACCATACCAAACCAAAACAAACACACACATCTGAATATATCTCTCATATGACATTTATATAATATGTATTTATTTTATTAAAATTGTGAGTTCCTTCTTAACAGAAGACTAGGCACTTAAGAGTAGATCAGTGGTGAGACCTCATTTCAATGTTTGCAGTTATAGGGGACCCAGTAAAAATATCTTCCCCATTCAGGTTGGGCCTTTTGAGGGGGAAATGAAAATCAGGCATTTGGAATCCAAATAAGTATCAATATTATCACTGAGAAAAATCAGTTGATTCTTGCTTATATGTGAAACCACATTGGGTTTCCTATAATCTCTGCTCCCCAAATTTTGACCTTGATCCTGCCCATTGAGGGAAGTATTATGTCTGCAGAACATGTTCCCTGGGTCATTCCCTTGTTATTGTGTCATTCATTTTTTCTTCTGGGCTCCTTACTTTTGAATGGCATGCTATATGAAAAAGGGAGTTTATCCCAGTTTAGTTTTGAACAACCTTAATGTTATCTGCCTTGAAGATTGGCCATTTGTCTGAGGCTTTGACCCTAGAAACTTTAAACAGATTGGTATAGAAGTCTGCAGACGGGTGCTCCATTGCAAAGTGTTTGCCTTCTGGGATTTAATGGTTATTAAGAGGTGACTGGTAAAAGGCAAGTAGTTTTTCTTTTCTTTCTTTTATTTTTTTATTTAAATAAATTGGTCTCCAGGGGTTTCTTCCTGTCTCGCTTCCCAGTTTTGTTCGATATCTCTGAGCTGCACATGGTATAACTTTCAAATGTGCCTGTTTATAGGTTTTTCTGGCATCCCAGTACATCAGCACAGCATATTGGGGTCTTAATGGCATACTCTGTTCTGCATGCTTTGTTGTGTTTTGGATCTATAAACCTAGTAAAGTCATGTTTTTCTGTATTCTTTGTGGGTGGATATGACCTATTCTTTTTTGGGATGTCTCTGTTCTTCTCCTTATATTTTAAAATATATGGACTAATTTCTGATCATAATCTTGGACTTGTAGTGCTCCAAACTATTTATTTTGTGATCGTCTTAGGACTGAGTTATTAGTTATACAGTGCATGGGGGATACCCTCAAGGTCCTGTGGATCCTAGTGCAGCTGCTGCTGCTTCATCAACCAGCTGATTGTCTAGTGGTCCGTCCTTAGGGTGACTGAATGTTGAGCACTAGTGGACTGAGGCCACGAAGGTATCCCCTCCATTAGTGGTTGTAGAATTTCAAATCCATTTAAGGTTGAAATGATTATTAGCTTCCAGGAGCAAGAGTTGGGTACCATCCCTGAATACATTATCAATTCTTTATCCTCTCAAGTATGGTTCCATATTTTTGAATCAAATAATAGCTTGATATTGCCAGTTAATCACTAGTCTTCTCCACATATTTTAATTACCATTTTAAAGTAGTGGCTTTCTCTGCTTGATAGATGGGTATAAGATTTTTGCTGGGCACAAACAAGTGTTGTGAATACATAACTATTCTGCCTAGACTACAGACTACTAATTGCTTCATAGAGAGTAGCAGTTTGAAATCCTCTGGGCTGTCTGGTTGTTATTGATGCACTCCTATAAAATCATATTCACTGATAAATCGGGCAGATTGTCAGCATGACTAGATCTGGGTATTCAGTTGCCCAATCTTGTACCACATTTTAAGTACTGTACAGTAATTGACAAGTTCATCTCTATTGCTGCGTACCCAGCAGTCCTAGACCACAGGTTTCCTCTCTCTTCCATGTATTTAGGTCAGTTCAATAGCTGTAATACTGAATGTCCTTTAAGGTGCCATTATTATTTAAAAGTGCACTCGAATTTCAAAGATACTAAACCTTAGAAATAATATTTTTAGAAGTTGATAAAATATATATTATTAAGGTTAGCACAAGACAGATGAAAAAATAAAAGAACTCAGCACTTGGCAAGATTATCTTATGTAAAGTTCCCCTGCCAGCTGGTAGTCTGTATTGTATTGTCAAAAACCTTGCAAGCCTATGTCATGACCAAATTCACTTGACTCTCCCATTCTATTGCATTCTCCCTTTCCCATGTGTTATTGCCATCTGATCAGTCATACTTTTTTTTTTGGTCATTTTTGTTTAACCTCTCTTTTTAAAACCCTTCTCATTTAATTCTTGATTATGCTTTTATGATATGGATTTTAGCAGAAGGTCACAAAATAATAGACTTTCTGTTGCTTATTTTTGTCTTTTGTTGCCTTTATTTATTTATTAAACTGGGAATTGAACTCAGGGAACTACTACTGAGCTACATCTTCAGCCCTTTTTATTTTTTATTTTGAGACAGGGCCTCAGTCTCCCAGGTCTCTGGGATTACAGGTGTATGCTACTATGCCTGGCTTCACTTATCTTTGGAATATTCCTGATGAGTCCCAGAGCCTTGCTATAGAATTGTCCTTCATCTGCTTTCCAACATGAATTTTCCAGAACCATTCACTAAGTATAAATCTCTTAAGTCTATTAATAAAAACTCAATTTTGCTAACATCTCTGGGTTACTGATATCCCGAGATCAGTTGAGACTAATGTTTATTTAGTCCTCTGCTATCAAATGTAAACTTCTAAATTCTGTTCAGCTGGGACTTTCAGGCTGTAGATCCTTCCACACCATTCTTCATGAGGTGTACTTTCTTTGTAGAACTGTAACTCTAGGAACTCCATCTGTGTGTCCAGGTCAGTTAGAGCCACATATCTGTAATTCTAGTACTTCTAGTTTCATGTAGAATCTATTCTGTAATTTTGGTTTCATGTAGAATCTATTTCCAGTCTTCCTACAGCTTTAATTTCCGTGTGTTTTACTTAATCTCTATTATTAGTTTTAGTAACCACTTGCAAAATTGCTGGTATTAATTTGATCAGATCATTTACATTTACCAAGTCTAAAAGGATTCTCTTAAATCTAGTTTTCCCCATCTACCTCACATTTAAATTGACCTCTAAAAAATCCCCCAAACTTATAATTTTGTTTTTCTCTTAGGGTTCCCTTAAATTCTCATTTTCCCAAAGCCCTCCTCATTCTTAAGAATGGTAGCTTTCTCAGTCTACTTTAAGTAGACTTGTATCAATAATTAATTACTTGTATTAAGTAAGTCTTGTATCAATAATGATTCATGGGCCATAATTGACCACTCTGACCTTACAAAGTACCAGGACTGATTATTTTAATTTTTAGTTGTAGATAGACACAGTATCTTCATTTTATTTATCTATTTATCTGTTTGTTTATTTATTTATTTATTTATTTATTTATTTATTTATTTATGTGGTGCCCCAGTCATGTGAGGTAAGTGCTCTACCACTGAACCATAACCCCAGCTTCCAGGACTAATTTTTAAAAGTGCCAGATACAGCTGGGTATGGTGGTGCACACCTGTAATTCCAGTATCTCAGGAGGCTGAGGCAGGAGGATTGTATTATAAGTTCAAGACCAGCCTCCAAAATTTAGGAAGACCCTGTCTCAAGGTTAAAAAAAAAAAAAAAAAAAAAAAAGATCTGGAAATGTAGCTCAATGGTAACCTCCGGCCCCTATTCAATCCTTAGCATCCTTACCCCTGATAAAAGTGCCAGATATGAGGGTCCAGGCCTCCTCAATCCCGGTTAGATCCTAATTCTGACTGTCCACTCTTCTGTCATTCAGTTGACATGTTCTTCTCTCCTACCAAAATTATTTGTTATCCACTTCTGAGGGGGCTTAACTAGAACCAGTGAAGTTTCCACTTTCTTATGAGAACTGAGAATCTTAAATTGATAGCTGTGAACTCTGCTGGCAGAGTTCTTGGCTTTATAATTTGAACAACCCCTGTTTCTTGCTCTTGAAGAGTACCCTGGTGTGATGCCTGATTGACCAGTATTCCCTGATGCTTGGACGTTGCACTTATATTCTCTAAGGGCCAAGATAATATTTTTACTGTTACCCAGAACTTTAGGCATATAATTGTCCTTTCCACTCTTGGGTTTATGCATGTCTTTTTCTGATGTATTCCAAAATTAACTTTGTGTTTTTATCTTATAGCAACAAATAAATGATGTTTTAATTCTCCTTGAGACCTAATTGGCTAGATTGTTTTTCCTGATTTCCTGAACTTTCTCGCATACTACTAATTAAATACTAGTCTGAGTTAACTTCCAGGTTTCCTGGAACTTGTGATCAGTAAGAGTCTAATACACAGCTCAGTAAAGCATGGATTATATTTCTAAGTCTTTGATCAAAGTTGTTTTATCTGTATATAAGGATATATGGTGAAAAGACAAAAGACCATGGTAACTTTAGATTAATAATATGTATTCTGTTTTTTCAATATTTTGTTGTAGAAAGATAATGAAAGGTAAAAGACAATAAAAAAATGACTTTGGCTAAAAGTATTTCTGACTCTTAATTAAAGGCAAATTTTGTTTTCCTCTTTTAAAAATAGGGTTACACATCATTTTGGAATGACTGTATATCATCTGGATTACGTGGCTGTATGTTAATTGAATTAGCATTGAGAGGAAGGTTACAACTAGAGGCTTGTGGAATGAGACGTAAAAGTCTTTTAACAAGAAAGGTAAGAGGATTGCTAACATCCTTTTATTGAATTTGTTCTGCTTAAAACAAAGAATGTTTCTACTACTAGCTTTCAGAAATTGAAGTGATTTAAATGTTTATTGGATTGCATTCCTTATCCTTTTTGTATTCTTGGTTTCCTGATTCTTTCATATATAATGAATAATATAATTCATTATTAGGATCAGTGACCACTGCTATTTATATATGTAGATATATGCCCAAGTTTATTTGCTGCTTCTAAAAGCTATGATTTTCAAAGAGTTGACATAACTTTAAGAAGTTCAAAAAGGTTTCTGTGTAAGTTACCCTATTGATCTTTTTTTTTTTTTTTTAATTTTTTTTTAAAGTTGTAGATGGAAATAGTACCTTTGTTTTGTTTATTTTTATGTGGTGCTGAGGATCCAACCCAGTGCCTCACACATGCAAGGCAAGCACTCTACTGCTGAGCCATAACCCCAGCCCTGGCTATTGATCTTTTTAGTAGACCTTGAGTGCTTTTCAGATATCAGTCTTCACTGTGAAGGTTTGAGTAGTTATTTCTGTGGTGTGGTTCAGTAGAGGTCATATTGGCCTCTACAATGAAAACTACAGAACACTAAAGAAATAAATTTAAAAAGACCTTAGAAGATGGAAAGGTTTCTTTCCCATGCTCTTGGATAGGCAAAATTAATATTGTCAAAATGACCATACTACCTAGAGCACTATACAGATTCAGTGTGATTCCAATTAAAATCCCAACATTATTCCTTATAGAAATAGAAAAAGCAATCATGAAATTCATTTGGAAGAATAGCCAACGCAGTCCTCAACAAGAAGAGTGAAGTGGGAGGCACCACAATACCAGACCTTAAACTATACTACAAAGCTATAGTAACAAAAATGGCATGGTATAGGCACAAAAATAGATATGTAGACCAATGGTACAGAATAGAAAACGAGACAAACCCACTTAAATACAGTTATCTCATACTAGACAAAGGCGCCAAAAACATACATTGGAGAAGAGATAACCTCTTCAACAAATGGTGCTGGGACAACTGGAAATCCTTATGCAGCAAAATGAAAATAAACCCATCTCTCATCGTGCACAAAACTCAAAGTGGATCAAAGACCTAGGACCTAGAAGAAAAAGTAAGGCCCAAATCTTCTTCATTTTATCAGATTAGGTCCCGACTTCCTTAACAAGACTCCTAAAGCGCAAGAAATGAAATCAAGAATTATTTAATAAGATGGATTCAAACTAAAAAGCTTCTTCTCAGCAAAAGAAAGAGTACATTTTGGGAGAAAATTTTTGCCACACACACGTTAGATAGAGAACTAACATCCAGGATGTATAAAGAACTCAAAAAATGTAACACCAAAAAAACCCAAATAACCTGATCAGTAAATGGGCTAAGGAGCTGAACAGACACTTTTCAGAAGAAGGTATACACTTGATCAACAAATATATGAAAAATGTTCAACATCTCTAGTAATTAGAGAAATGCAAGTCAGAACTACTCTAATATTTCATCTCACACCAGTCAGAATGGCAGCTATCAAGAATACAGACAATAATAAATGTTGGCAAGGATGTGGGAAAATGCACACTGGTGAGACTGCAAATTGGTGCAACCAATCTGGAAAGCAGTATGGAGATTCCTTAGAAAACTTGGAATGGAACTACCATTTGACCCAGCTATTCCCCTCCTTGGTCTATACCCAAAGGACTTAAAATTAGCATACTATAGTAATGTAGCTACATCAGTGTTCATAGCAGCTTAATTCACAATAGCTAAACTGTGAAACCAAACTAGAAGCCCTTCAGTGGATGAATGGATAAACAAATGGTGACACACACACACACACACACACACACACACACTGCAATGTTACTCAGCATTAAAAAAGAATAAAATTATGGCATTTGCAGGTAAATGGATGGAGTTGGAGAATATCATGCTAAGCAAAGTAAGCCAATCCCAAAACACCAAAGGTCGAAAGTTCTCTCTGATAAGTGGAGACTGATCCATAATTGGGAGGGGAGAGACATGGGAAAAATGGAGGAACTTTGGGCAAAGGGGATGGAAAATAGGGAGGATACACGGGGGCAGGAAAGATGGTGGGATAAGGTGGACATCATTACTTTAGGTAACATGTATGAGTGCACATATGGTGTGACGCTTCAGTGTGTACGACCATAGAAATGGAAAGTTGTGCTGCAATTATGTACAATGAATCAAAATGCATTCTGCTGTCATATATACCTAATTAAATAAAATAAATTAAAAAAATAGATTTATTCCCTCAACAGTTCTGGAGGCCAGAGGTCTGAAATCTAGGTGTGCTGTGTTTTCTTTGAAGTCTCTAAGGAAGAATCTTTTCCTTGCTTTTTCCATCTTCTGGTTGCTCCAGTTCTTTTTTTTTAATATTTATTTTTTTAGTTTTAGATGGACATAATATCTTTATTTTATTTTTATGTGGTGCTGAGGATCGAACCCAGTGCCTCACGCATGCCAGGTGAGAGTGCTACCACTTGAGTCACATCCCGAGAGAGCCTTCCAGTTGTTCTTTAGTGTCTGTCTATATCTGCTTCTGTTCTGTTTTTAGTTTTTTCTTTCCCCAGAGGGCAGTGCTGGGGATTTAATAAAATTTTTATTCTACTAGTGGTGGCAGTTTTAAAAAAGTCTTTCTCATCCTTAAAATTATTTTTCCTATTTGAATCTTAATCTTTTATTGTGGAAGAAGCTCAGAGGAGCCAATCTTACTTGATTTTTGCCTCCAGTTCATTAGTCAACTTAATGATGTTCAGATTTCTTTCTCTGATGTGAAATGTCACCTTTATTGTATATGAGATTCTTTCAAATAATTGAGACTGTTTTTTGGGGGGTGGGTGGGTAGGGGTACTGAGTATTGAACTCAGTGGCACTCGACCACGAGCTACATCCCCAGCCCTATTTTGTATTTTATTTAGAGGCAGGGTTTCACTCAGTTGCTTACTTAGCCCCTGCTTTTGCTGAGGCTGCTTTGAACTTGTGATCTTCCTGCCTTAGCCCCCTGAGCTGTTGGGATTACAGGCGTGTGTGTGCCACAGCACCTAGCAAGATTGGTTTTTGAATTAATAATGTTTTATAAATGAGTTTCTGGATCAAATAGCCCAAGGTTCAATAAGTGGAATTGTATTAAGAATGAATTATTCTAGCATTTTGCCTTACTAGTTATTGCATAGTAGCTTCATTTTCATTTGTTTGTACCTAATCTGGTTAGGTTAAATACAGAATTTCCTTAACACAGAATTAATTTAAACTTTGAACTTTGATACTGCATGAAATGAACATGTTGAGCTTGGTGAATTACTTGCACAGTTGTTGATTTTTTTTTTATTCAAAGAGTTTATGTCAGAAAACAGTCTTAATGCTTGTGTTTTAGGTGATCTGTAAGTCCGATGCACCAACAGGGGATGTTCTTCTGGATGAAGCTCTAAAGCATGTTAAGGAGACTCAACCTCCAGAAACAGTCCAGAACTGGATTGAATTACTTAGTGGTAAGCCACTGTAGAAAAATTAAAAAATGAATTTTATTTAAAAGCATTTATAAAATTTTAAATTCTTTTGAAAGGAGCCCATAAAAAATAGCAGAATCTTGTTTAGTCACTGAGACAGATTTGAAGGTTATTTATCACTAAGGGGGAAAAAAGTGTTTTTTTTCCCAGTTTCATCTTATGATGTATGTATGTATGTATATATAAATATATGTATTTTTGGTGGTGCTGGGGATTGAACCTAGGCCTTCTGCATGCGAGGCAAGCACTATACTAACTGAGCTATATACCTAGTCCCTGAGCATTTATTGATGAGATGTAATATTCTTTCTTCCAGCTCCCATAATTCTTTATCAGAATTGTAGTCCACTTCTTATTCTGTGTAGGCTGGGTTAAGCTGTGGAGATATCTTCAGATGCTCCGCCCATAAGTCATTTCTTGATCTTACATCATACATACTAATATAATAGTACATTGGGTTTAATAGCATATCTTTGACTGCCACATGTCCTTTGACAGTATATGCATTGGTAGAGGAAATTAGTATAAATTAGTATGTCACATAAGGGTGTTGGGTTGACGTTTAAGATGACTATCTACTTGTATTTACCTAACATTTTATGAGTGACTTTTATTTAGTAACTGAACTTGATTCTTAACTTGAGCAGCTGTTACACTCTTCCCACTTGATTGGACATTGAAAAGATGTGAAGTCTTCTAAGCTTTTCTCAAAAGTATTTAAATACAGTTAAGATTTAATTTAAGCAAATGTATGTTTCCCATCTAGTGAATGTACCAAAATATTGCTTGCTGATTAAAATTTCTTTTCTTTAGGTGAAATATAAATAATGTAATATTTACCATTTTAATCATTTATAAGGGTATAGTTCTGAGGCCAGCTTTCTGATTTTAAAATTTTAAAAATGTTTAGTTGCTTTAAGATAGTATATGGTATCAAATACCAGTTGCTTCAACAATACAGACATAGGTGCTATGAAACTTTTTTAAAAGAGATACTCAAAAACGATTGAAAGAATCTTAAAGTCCACTTGGAACAATTGTATATGTCTAAATAATTTGATAACAGATTAGAGTTTAACAGTTTAACAGTATGGTTCTTTGAAAGTTCGGTAGCTCAGAAAAGAGAAATCCTTGAGATCTTTAGTAGTTGAAGTAAGATGTAGACATTGGATTAGACTTTTTTTTTTTTTTAATTATTCTTGGTTGTTCAAAACATTACATAGTTCTTGATATATCATATTTCATACTTGGATTAGACTTTTTTTTAAAGAGTAAGAAAGAGACACAAAAGGAAGTGTGTCTGTTTAGAGGGATTAGAGGTAGTGGTAAAATTGGTGAATCTGTCCTTACGTGCTGGGTCTGTGTTTGTTCCAAAGATTATATGCTGTTGCATTGTTAACAGAAATGTGTGATCATATGTAAGAAGAGAGAATGATTAACACAGGTTTATTGGTGGTTATTACAACCAGCAGTAGAGATGGTACACAGGAGGCTTTTAATGTAGAAATAAAGAAGGCAATTAGAGAATATTTTCATTAAGAAACAAAAAAGTTTATTTACCTGGGATGGATGGTATACCTAGGGACTCATTTTTTATTATGTAATGTTAAAACTATTGATAACATTTTAAACATTTAAACATCTCTTAAAATTAATAAAAAATATGCAAGACGGACTTTAAAAGTTTTTAACAAAACTACTGTTTTTAAAAATAAAATTAGTCATGAACTGAAATTAATTTGTACGCATGTATGAGTAGGGGATAAACCCAACAATTATATATAATTATAAACTCTAGTAAAATAAAATTTCTGGCTTCTGAAACCTTAAGTAGTTGATCAGTTTGGTCACAGGGTGTCACTAGACTGCCACATGTATGGGGGAAGCTGCTTATAGTTTAATATGATGTCTAGGCAGTTAGGAGTTCTTTGCAGAGAAATTATTTAGTATGTCATTCTCTTTTGGTATGATTGTTGGGTGGTGAATATTATCTCTTAAGAACTTTTCTTCTCACACTTTCTTTTAAAAAATGAACTACAAATAAATTCTATATATTTTAAATTTGCATGTATAATTTACCAAGTCTTTCCATACATACATACATACATACATACACACACAGTGATTTAGGGACTGGATCACAGTAATATTTTTTAATGTAGTAATTCAAACACTAATTCATCAAGCATTTATTACAAAAATTTGAAAAGATTTTTAATATTCTTAAACTGAAGTAACTAAATCTTTAGTAGCTGGCATAGATCAAACCTTATATTTTCATTAGTCCATCTATACTCCTCTCATCCCAATTTATACTGATGTCTTAATTATGCCTAACTTGGGGGTGACTTTATCCTTTGCACTTGGCTTAATTTGTTTTTTTTTGTTTTTAAAAATAAAAGGTAGAAATTTCAGGATACCAAGATACTCATTTATTTCATTATATCTTTTTTCTTGTGTATCACAAGAAATATTATATAGCACTTGAGATATTCCCTTATGGTTTCAACCTTTTGCTTATGAAATTTATTTTTTATATTTGAGGAGATCTAAAAAACCCTTTGAAGTTTTTATATCTGAGGAGATCTGAATAACTCACTTTTTCTTGAGTGAGCACACATGGTTTGCCCTCTTTCAGGGAATTGCTACAAAAGAAGATGATGACTTGGTCCCTTTTTATTACTTCCTCTGAGGCAGAAATGGTTGCCCATGAGAAGGTCCAATCATAAATGGAACACCTTATTGAAGGTGGGTCTGTGTATAGACTCTTCTCAATTTTAGTTGCAACAGTGAACAATTAAGGTAGCATACTTTGGAGTTGAGAAATTTTTCACAGGAACTTTGTAAGCATTACATGTTCCATTGGTTGTAATATATAAGATATAATTAAGGATATGGTGAGGGCAGATATTCGTATGACTTCAGTACAATAAGCAGTAGTCATAAACTGTTAATCCTATCTATTTCCCTTGAGAAAGAAAACAAACCATTGTGTAGCAGCATTAGAAGAGTGTTCTTTTAAATGCTTACAAAGAGAAATTTAACTGGATTTTCAGAATTACATACTTCTCTATTTCCTATTGTTTGGTAATAGATGACCAAGATGTTTTGTGGGGCATAAAATTCCTTCCTGTTTAACTTACTAAGTTAAAGTTGGGTGGATTGTTATTTGTTCTGCTACATTTTGGTTTGATGACAACATAAACATATTAAAGCAATAATACCTAATTAGCTAGAATTGCCAGGGGATAGTAGTGTTTTTTTGGTAATTTACATATTAACTGCATGGTTAGTTAATTTAGAATTGAACTGTAGTTTTTTAAACAGACTAATGTAAATTTGGCTAGTATTTTATGTTGTATTAGTTTAAATTTCTAAAAATCAATTAACAGAACCCATTCTACTCTAATCGTTGCCATAGGAAACACAAAATAAAGCCCATACTGTCTGGTGAAAGATGCAGCAGACAGGCATTTATTGGGAGACAGTGGATTGGCACAATAAAAAATTGGATGTCCCATACCTTTGAAAGAAGATGTGTACCTCCTCTAGGACTTATAGCCCCTAATAATCACTGGCTATGTATTTTGTTGTTTCTTTGGTCCAGAGTCCAGGCTGTTCTTCTCTGGAAATCCAGATTCTCTAGAAATTCAGATTTCTAGATTTAGCTTGGCCTTTCTTTTCTAACTTTCTTAGAAATACCCCTTAATATTAAACCCAAGTCATTTCTCATTTGTTTGGGAACTTTGTTCATGTCATTCATAGGGCCCTCTTTCCATTTTATTCTATCCACTAACATGAATGTGTCTTTAATTCGATTTTAAATTCTTTCAGGGTAAAAAATATGTCTTAATGTTTATACTCTTGTTACCTACTCTATGCTGAGAACATTGTGAATACTATAAATTTTCTCATCCAGGATATTGATTTTGCACATTAGTACATAATACTTAACAATTATTGAGAACTTAACTGTGTATCAGGCTCTATTCTGAGAATTTGATGTCTCATTTAATTCTCATAATAGCCCTTTGAGCTTGATACAATGTTATCCTTACTTTACAGATGAAGAAATGGAGGAGAGAGGTTGAGCCTTGCACAGGCTACACAGCTGGGTGTTTGCCTAAGTAGGGGTTTAAACTGAACCAGTCTGGCTATAGAGCCTGTTCTTAATCTTGTTTTGTTATACTGCCTCATCAGCAGTTACTAATTTCTTGACATTGAATGTAGTTATGAGCTTGTTTGACACTAGAAGTTGAAATAAGAATCATGTTTATTACTCACTGTTTTTCTTTCATACTGTAAGGTTGTTAAATCTAATATAGCTCCAAATATATTTCAGTGCTTTTTCTTTTTGAAAGTACCAAAGACATTGAATGTAGCAATTGTTTTTCTTTTGTGGAAATTGATTTGCCAGGACTACTTTTTGTTTGTTTGCTGTCTTTAAATCCATGGAGTGACTTTAATTATTAGTGAGTTAGGTACCTGTGTGTGTGTGTGTGTGTGTGTGTGTGTGTTTGTTTTTCTCCTGGCACTGGGGATTGAACCCAGGGAACACTTTATGATTAAACTACATTCTTGGCCCTTTTTATTTTTTATTTTGAGACAGAGACTTGCAGATTTGCTGGGGCTGGCCTTGGATTTGTAATCCTCCTGCTTATTTAGACTCCTGAGTAGTTGGGATTATAGGGTTGTGCAGTTGTGCCTAGATGTCATATAATATTCGACAGTTTTGAATTCCCTGCTTTTTCAAAGTAAATCCAAAATTGACAATTCTGTATCATTCCTTAAGAGGAAACAAGCCCTTTAAAAAAAAATTGTGTGCATATTTTCCTTTAAATTAGATAACTTATAGTAGCTGTTTTAAGTTTTTTTGTCTGCTAATTCCATTACCGCTGTCATTTCTGGGTGATGTCTGATTTGGTTTACTATTTTCTTTATTTTTTTTCTCCCTTAGTGTTAGATCATATTTTCTTGCTTCTTTGCAAATCTAATGATTTTTGTGTTTAACTGAATGGCAGACATTGTGAATGTTAGATTGTTGAGTGCTGTTTTTTTGAAGAGTGTTGAATTTTGTTTTGGAGTAAATAGTTAAACTACTTGTGGATCATCTTATTTTTATTTTATTTATTTTTTTGGTATCAGGGATTGAACCCAGGGGTGCTTAACTGCTGAGCAGATACCCAGTCTGTTTCATTTCTTTATTTTGATACAGAGTCTCACTGAGTTGCTTATTAGGGCCTTGCTAATTTGCTGAGGCTGGGTTTGAACTTGGATCCTCTTTCCTCAGCCTCCCAAACCTCTGGGATTACGGGCACCCACCACTGTGCCTGGCTTGGATCAGCTTATTTTAGAGCCAATCTTGGGTGGTCTGATCTAGTTTAACCCCACTACTAAAGTGTCATCCTTCTGTGGTCTCTTCTGCACATCCTATGTGTTCATTGAGGTCTTTTCACCTAAAGCGTTTCTGATCTTTATGTGAACTCTTGGAATTATTCAGCTAAAACTTTCTGGTATTTCTTTGTCTAACCTTGCCCAATTTCTTACCTTAACATGTGTGGCTTAGTTTTTAGTCAGAGACTCAAGGGTATACCACGCAGGGTTCTAGACTTCCTTTCTGTGCATAGATCTTGCTTCAGTACTCTGCCTTGCACATTCCAGCTTCCTTGGCTTCTCTGACCTCTGATCTCAGACCAGAGTGACTATTCTGCTCTGTTGTCTTGTGTGTGCCTTCAGGTAGTAAGTTTGGACATCATAGGGGTTGCTTAGATTTCCTCCAGATTTCTATTTATGGTGAGGCAAGTCTAGGATTGAATGATTACTCTGTCAGAAGCCTGTATTCACTAGTATTCAATCATATAGTAACATACTTGTCCATGGCTAACTGAACATAGTTTAAGACCACTAGAACTTTCTGTGATGATGAAAACATTTTATTTCATGCCATCTAGTCAGTAACCAAGGGCTGCACATAGCTATTTGTACTTGAAATGTGACTTGTGCAACTGAGGAACTGTGTTTTTTTTTTTTTTTTTAATTTAGTTATTTTGGGTATTTATTGGTCTGTTGTGAGCACTCCAGTTAAAGGTTTTCTCAGTTTTATAAAATTTTAACCTTAGAGCTTTTGCAACTAATTAATGATAGCTGTGGTTGATCTTTGTCATGTCCTAATTTTGGAAAGTATTATAGTATTTTTTTTTCAAATTACAAAAATAGTTAACATTTGTTTGAGACATTTGGAAAATAATGAAAAATACGAAGAAAAATTGTCACACAGAATCCAAAAGATAATCAAGGTTAATATTTTGTTATATTTCTTTCAATCTTATATAAAGAAAAAAACTTGTAGTGAAAAATATTTGCTTTTATTTAAAATATTTATCTTGGAAGTATGCACAAGATTAAAATTGTGAAATTTGTTGTCCTCTTAGAATTAGCTTTATGTTATTTGTCATCAAAGCAAGCCTGCACAGGAAAGCCTTTAGACTATGTGTTTGGCACTTCCAGGAATATCATGGAAACATCAATTTTTTTGTCCATTTGTTGCAGGCTGGTGTTTTGTAGAGAAAGTTTGTATTTTGCTGTTGGCTGCTTTTTGGCAGTAGCTGGAGTGAACTAGAAATATAATTTGAGTTCATTTTCCCATTAGACTAAGGGTGACTATGGTTTGAAGACTATTTTCTGATTAGATTTTTGTGTGAATACCGTGCCTGAGAATGTGTCAGGTGCCTAAAATTCAAAGGTCTAGCCTCAGATGCTTCATGGTCTTATTGGGGAGCAAAATATTGTTGAGTTTTTTTATTTCTTGGGGGAAAAGTTAAATTTTACTGCTCATTCTATTACTATTAAACTTTGCAAAATTAGCAAGTAATACTCATCATTTCATTTCTAACTTCCAAAATCTTTTGTTTAGGTGAGACATGGAATCCATTAAAATTGCATTATCAATTAAGAAACGTGAGGGAACGATTAGCTAAAAACCTGGTGGAAAAGGGTGTACTGACGACAGAGAAACAGAACTTCCTACTTTTTGACATGACGACACATCCTCTCACCAATAACAACATTAAGCAGCGCCTCATCAAGAAGGTACAAGAAGCTGTTCTTGACAAATGGGTGAATGACCCTCACCGCATGGACAAGCGCTTGCTGGCTCTCATTTACTTAGCCCATGCCTCGGATGTCCTGGAGAATGCCTTTGCACCTCTTCTGGACGAGCAATATGACTTAGCTACCAAGAGAGTGCGGCAGCTTCTTGACTTAGACCCCGAGGTAGAATGTCTGAAGGCCAACACCAACGAGGTTCTGTGGGCAGTGGTGGCGGCATTCACCAAGTAACTCTGTCGGAATGAAATGTTTCCTTTCTTTCATGTAAACCAGTAGTTTTTCTTCTATTGACTTCTGGTTTTCTGCAGTTTGTACTTTCCCACACTATAATTGGCTTTTGTTTTATAAAATGGTGGGTGGCTTTTTCTTTTTGTATGTATGCAGGATTCTGCTGGTACGAGAGGCCTTCCTCTTTCTGTTTTTAACAAATTTACTGCCATATTGGCATTCCATTCCCTGTTTCCATTCTCACTGTTACCTGTTTTGGGTTTCTGATGTACTTTGTCTTCAAAGTACTTCCAGTCACCTCACGTGCACAGTTTCTGGATTACCTCAACTTGAGTTTTCCCACATGTGCATGTCCATCTATATCATTCTGCCTACAATTCAGACAGAAGTCACAACAAGGCCTTCAACTCACCAAAGGTAAATATCTGTATCTATTAGGACATTTTATACATAGACCTCAGTTGAGATGTATACTTAGCAAAATTATTTTTAAATTGAGACAGCACAGTAAATACTTAATATAAAATGCCCCTTGGATTTTTGCTTCCCATGTAAATCTATTGTATTATTATTCTTGTTATAATTTTAACTATTAAATCATAAAGGTCCAGTTGTTTCACAAAGCCAGTTTGGGATGAGCTGCATTCCAGTTAAGCTGTATATAGTTTGAATTATATATAAATTACTCCTTCTTCTGGCCACCCTGCCTCCATCTTAGTATTTTGCAAGATTTGATTAGTTGTACACCTGGTGCCCCTTACTAGCTTCAGTCATTGTTATTTGATGGCAAAATAGACCTCTCATCATTGAAAGAGAGAAAAAAATGTGTATCTGATTGGTGCTGGGATTTTTTTGAGCTCTGCCGTTCACGGTACTCTTTGCCTTTGCATCTGTTTTTGGATTTTTTTTTTTTTTGGAGGGGGTGTGTCTTAACTGTCCTTATGATTTCTGTAGGGAAGAGGCTTGTGACCAGTACTAATCTTGAGTACAGTTTTTTTCTGTCAACAAGTAAATTAATGTCTGCTTCGAAATGTCACTTAACTACTTACACTTCCTTGGGGGAAAAAAAAATCAAATGTCAGTCCTAGCAGATGTTGCATGTAAATTGGTAGCAAGTAATGACTACAACTCAGATGATTAAGAATTTTGTAACAGAAAGCTCTGCTGTTTTAATTTTTTATATGCAATTATGATAATTAGCACATTGTAAGACTAGAAACCTTTGCTTTTAAAGTTTATTTTTACTATTTCTTTATCACTGTTTATCATACCACCATTGGTTTCATAATGTAAATACTATACATTGAACAAATTAAATGTCAATTTTTTATTACTATAGTTCATGTTAATAGTGGGGCTTTCAGGTGTTTAGGAATTTCTTTGGTTAACATTCATTGCAAAAGTACTAGATGGTGTATAACTCTAGAGTTGAATTTTAAGGGATTCCCTAATATGTATACTATCTTTTTATCTGAAATAATAAATAAACTATGATCTTGAAAGTGCCTGAATCAGAGCAAGCATGTCATTTGTATTTTTGTGTTTTGAGTTTGCTTTTATTTTTTAAAAAATATCTATTTTTTTAGTTGTAGTTGGACACAATACCTTTATTTTATGTATTTTTATGTGGTGCTGAGGATCGAACTCAGGGCCTCACACATACTAGGCGAGCGCTGTACCGCTGAACCACAACCCCAGCCCCTTGAGTTTGCTTTTAAATGAAGTTTTACCTAGTATAGAATTGTCAGATTTCAATGCAAGACTTGGAAAACTTTTTCTTAAATATCCAGATATACATTTTAGGCTTTTTATTTTATTTTATTTTTTTAAGAGAGAGAGAGAGAGAGAGAATATTTTTTTTTTAATATTTATTTTTCAGTTATTGGTGGACACAACATTTTTGTTTGTATGTGGTGCTGAGGATCGAACCCGGGCCGCACGCATGCCAGGCGAGCGCTGCGCTACCACTTGAGCCACATCCCCAGCCCCTATTTTAGGCTTTTAGAGCCACATATTTTGTTTGTTACAGCTACTCCTCAACTTGTTGAATGAAAGCTGTCATTGACATTATAAATAAGAGACTAGGCTGTGTTGGAATAAAACTTCACAGAAACAAGTCAGCTCTCCATGGCCTACAGTTTGCCAGCCCCTGTACTAATGCAGGAAAAAAGACACATTTTTCTGTCCATTCAAATAACCTCCTTGACTGGGTGTGGTGTTGCCTGTCTATAATCCCAGCTACTCAGAAAGCTGAGGCAAAGATGTTCTTGAGTTTGAAGACTGCCTAAGCATTTAGTGAGAGACCCTGTCTCAAAAGCAGAAACCTCCTTCCCCCCCCTCCCCCCCCCAAAGTGATATTACTGTAGTTACATGTAGAATCAATTGAAAGTTTGTTTCCCCATAAAATTGATATTGGAAACATACCAGTATGCTGAAGTTTCTTACCAGGTGAAAAATTAATCTTTTTCCATTGAAAGATTTTAGAAGCAAAGTTATTGGGATTTCTAACATAGTTCAGCAGCAGCATTGATACTCTCAAGCAAGGGAAAAGGGGCTTGGCCTGTACATCTGTTATTGTTTGTCAGTATTTGTTTCAAAACAGTGCACACTCATACTTAACCATTGCCTGTGTGTTTCATCAGTTCAGTCTGTTTCTAGAGCCAGAGGATAGGAAAAGTAGTAAAATTGCACGGAGCAGGTGTTATCTAGAACTGTCTTCTATAAAAGGTATTGCTTGTAGTCTCTTTACAGTGGGAAAGATGTGTGTCTATGGAAATAGTTATTCCATGTGATAGGAGCAGTATTTCATAGGTTATTGTCATATTGGTTAAATACTGTCAGAACGCAGAATCAGGCAGTGTATTTTTATAGTAAAATGTAAATATTGTGCAAAAAATCGTAGTTGTTTTTTCCTTTTGACTTATTTATATATTGTTTAATTGATGAGTGTTCCTGAAAATAACCTTATCTAGTGTAGTACTCTTAACAGAAGTTTACTAAACAAATGGTTTGTGCTAGTGAAGTATTTTATATTTCATTTTGATCTCCCCAGACTCAGTTACCAGTCTTTACTTAATAGAGAAGAGGCAGAGAGGATGAGTTGCTCAGTCTCCCATTATCCAATAACTATTCAAGCTTTTGATCCTAAAGTGATTGAGTAATAGTGATGCATTCAACTACAATTTTTCCATTTTATTTGGGCGTGAGGAGGGGGATTCTTTAAGAGACAGAACCAGAACAACAGGCATGCAAAAGCTTCACATAGTGGTGTAAATGAAGATCCTGGTGTAATTTACATGTGTTATCTTTTTGGGGATGAAAAAGGAAGAAACATTGACATGTCAAATGGCCATGAATGTCACTGGCCTGCTGAAGCAGGATTGAACAATGACTTCTGACTCACACCACCAATCTGTCCTTCCCGTTTTTTGTGAATAGATGGGTACAATAATCTTTTTAAGCCTAGTAAACCCCTGAATTTGGTCATTACTCAAAAGAAAATGAAAAGGGCTGGTGTCTTGAATGGTGTGGTAGCAGCACAGGACCAGTGAGTTGTGATACCTAGCCTGAGGTTGACAAGGGTCTATGACCACTGGGCATGGCTATTCTTCTTGCCTCGGCAGTTTGGAAATGGCCAGTCACATGTTTATGTGAGGTGTTTACTTTATGAAGTTAAATTTTCAACTCCATGGCCTCTCCATCTTCCATTAACTTATTGTCAGATGGTACTGCTCCATTTGACTTCATTTAGATCAAGATGACTGACAGACTAAGGTCTGTCAGCCCATTGAGTCCCAGGGTAATATATATGACTGCCTTGTGTAAGTTCTGCACAAATGTCATGTATTCTTTAATAACACTGGAAAAGTTGTATTCATAACCTTGCAGGATATCCTTCAGTAGGGTGTGGGTAAAACAGATTAATTAAATTGATATGAACACTTTGTTAGCCCAATGTTGTATAGGTGTTTACTCCTAATAGAATAGTGGTATAATGTAACTCCCACTAGTGTCATTACATACTGATGTACGACTTGCTTTTAGAAACCTTTCAGAATAAGTACATGTTATTCTGAAAGGCTTCATTGTACAGCTTAGTTAAATCTCCTGGCTGGCTGAGTGTGGTGGTGCATTCCTGTAATCCCAGCAGCTCAAGCCAGCCTCGGCAACCCTGCCCTCTAAATAAAATATTAAAAAGGGCTTGGGGGCTGGGGCTGTAGCTCAGTGGTAAAGTGCTTGCCTAGCACGTGTGAGGCACTGGATTCAATCCTCAGCACCACATTAAAAAAGTGTCCATCTACAACTAAAAATATTTAAAAAGGTTGTTGGTGGTGCTTGGGATATGGCTCAGTGGTAAAGCCCCCCTGGGCTCAATCCCTGGTACCAAAAAAAGAAAAAAACACCTCTCGTTAGTTGACATATGAGTTATGCTTGTATTTCTCTTTATTACAAATAGTGTTGTATGTTTTTGTACGTTTGTCTTGATGTAGGATGGAATTAATAGAAAAGGACTTGATCAAAGAATATTCTTTGAAAATGTAAAAGTGAAGTTTTTTTAATAAGATTCATATTAACTTCTTTGCTTTTACCAATAATGCTGATGTTGGCTTCCTTGTACCCTAAGCAGATAGAAGATATTATCAACCTGGCCTTTGCCAAGCTAATAGGGGAGAATTAAGTTGTTTTAATTATGGAGGAATTAATTATCATTTACTGTCTTTATTGGTAATTTGTATTTTCTCTGAAAATACACACACACACACACACACACACATATATATATATATATATATATATATTTTTTTTTTTAAGTTGTTGCTGGACCTTTATTTTATTCTTTTATTTATATGTGGTGCTGAGAATTGAACTCAGTGCCTCACACATGCTAGGCAGGTGCTCTGCCACTGAGCCACAACCCCAGCCCCCACCCGTTCATGTTCTTTATCTGTTTTTTTTTTTTTTTTCCTAATGGGCATTGATGTTGTTATGTATTGATTCACCAGGACTTAACCCTGTGTTTGTGATGCAGTTGGTTTTCCCAGTCTTTGGAACTAGCTTATGGTAAGTTTTTACTTTTCTTTCATTAGTATTCAGAAGTATAAGGTACACTTCGCAAGCATGGAGTTGGTAGAGATCTTAATTGTACTAAAGCCGTATGCCTGGTGGTCAGATTTCAGAAAGGTATAAATTTGGAGGAGGTACAACTAAATTAACAAATGAAAACTTTGTAGATACATTTATATGCAAACATTTCATTAAGATTTTGATTAAAATCCAAATGGGAAAACATAAATGTATAGATTCAATAATTATTTTAACACAGATATGTTTATAACTATCATTAAGGTCTGAAAATAGAACCTTTCCAGGCACCCTGAAGCTTTGTGTCTTCCTCCCAGCTATCTTCCTAACTCCTAAGAGTAAACACTTGTCCTGACCCAGTGTGCATCCTTAATAGGTTTATTCTGTTTTATTTCTTTTTTTTTTCATCTGCTATGCCCTATTAAGTTTATTTTAATCTATAGGTTCTTCCCTGCATCTCTCTGGTTTTTCCTTTGCAAAATATTTATTGGTGAAATTGGATCAATTGTTCTGTGGAGTTTTCTTTTTTATTGGTATCTGGGATTGAACCCAGATGCACTTAACCACTGAGACACATCCCCTAACCCCTTTTAGTTTCCAGACAGGTCCTAAGTTGCTTAGGACCGGGCTAAATAGTTGTTGAGGCTGACTTTCATCTTGGGATCCTCCTGCCTCAGCCTCCTGAGTTGTTGGGATTACAGACTTATAGATTCCTGTGGAGTTTTCTAAAGTTTAGATTCTACTAGTTGCATCTGCATGGTGTAATTTAATATGTTTCTTTGATTTTATATTTCTCACGAATTGGTGATTGGCTCTGGAGGGTTCATGACATTCAGGTTTCTTTGTGTGGTGTGTACTTCCACCAGAGGACAAATAATGCCTCCTTGTCTCTCATTTGGCAGTACTAGCAGCCTTGCCATTGAATTCTTCGATCTTGTGATTAACTGGGGCTGCAGAGTGGTGCTTTTAAAATTCTTGTTATTTCTTCTTTATTCATTAGCTAAAATGTTTCTAAAAAGAAAAACTTTACATTACCTTTGAGTAAAGTTAATACAAGAAAGGTTGGATAAATTCCACAATTTACTTGTCAATTTTCAAAATACACTTGTCTGTCTTCTCCAAAGAATTTATGGAAAGAAACTGTCATCTATATAATTGTCAAATTGTTGTATATATATGTGGAATATAATGTTTTGATCTATGTATACATTATAGAAAGATTCAAAGAAGCTAATTAGCATGTCTGTCACCTCAATAACTTACCTTTTTTTTGTATGTGGTGAGAATGTTACCATATCAACAGTCTGTTCTTACAGCATTTTTGAAATAGATTACCCCTTTTAGTCGCCATGCTCTGTGGTGGATCACTGTAAAACTTATTCTTCTAGTTGAACTGAAATTTTGTATTCCTTGATCAGCATCTTCTCAGCGTTC